TGTTATATAGGAATTTCATGCAAGTAGTCTGGGAGACATGAAACAGCCTCCAACCTCTAGAAGATGTTGCACAGGAAGAGTGCCTGCCCTTACACTTGGGATTCTCAGTCAAGAGGGCACAGACCAAGCCTTCTCTTTACTGCCAAAAAAAAAATATTTGTATTTTTTACCACATGGTAATGCACACACAAGCTAGCCTGAGGTAAAAAAAACAGTGAAGAGAAGGCTTTAGTTTACCACAAGGTAAACTAGGTGAGGTCAACCCTCTACCCTTGCCTAGGTTTGATCTTGCCTAATTTATCTCATGATAAAAAAGTGTTTTGTTTTCATGGGGTTTTCATGTTGGGATAGTTCACAAGTATTAGCTGCCTGGAGGCCTTTTTTTTTTATTTTTTGTTTTAAAAACACCTTTTTTAGCAGGGAAGACAAGGCTTTGGTGATGTTCTCTGATAAGCTGCATTGCTTGCAGGGCTCCAATCCAAAAGCTGTACAAGAAGTGTCCAATGACCACACACAGGAATAGAATTCTAGGGGCTAAAGTGACATTCCCTTCATATTTGTGTGTTTTTTTTTTAAAAGTATGCAAAACTGTCTTAACTCATATCTCTAAGGGAATGTGTGTTTACACTTAAAAGTTGCAGATACATTTACCATTTAAAACAAAATGTTTGAAAATCAGCTTTTTCTCCCCCCCACTTATCAACTAAGTCCAGAGCGAGCAGCTACTGGAGGGGAACATCGCCAACACCTAAAGCAGAACAGTGAATGCAGAGCTCCATACAGCTCATTTCAGGTGTTATTGGTGTCATCAACTTTCATGAAAAGAATCCCTCTGAAATCAGGTTTTGAAGTATATTTTCCATTGTAGATTTGCTCCAGTTACAGCCACCATAGCCAGCCATTGGCATAGCTACACAAGTGTAGGCCCTAGTGTAGACAGGCAAAGCTGCTATTTGCACAAGTAGGAGCTTACCTCTGCTTTGAATGGGACATACTCTACCAGCGCAGGTAGCATCTTAACCGCATAATACTTCTGAGAGGTAGGTAAACATTATTCCAATTTATAGATGGGGAAACTGAGGCATAGTGAGACAGAGTAAACAGGAACTGATTGGCAGAACTAGGGACATATTCCAGATCTCCAGCTACCCAATTCTGCACTCAAACTAGTGGAATAAAATACCCCCTCCCCCGGTGAATTATTATCATGAATGAAGCACACATGCCTAGGGTGTGAAAAAAGTTCTACTTGTTCTTTTCCCCCCTCTACTATTACTGTTATAGTAATATACAAGTTATCAATCAATTTGCCCCACACTTTCAATAAGTGGTGCTAGTAATAGCTACATTCACAATAGTATTTATTTTAACTTCTTCACTGTGTTTCCAAAAGAAACTTGCATTTATTAGACTAGAATATAATAGGAGGCTGCATGATAGACATGATTTGAAAAGACAGACAACACTGGATCCCATAAAGGTAGGGCTGTGCAAGGTCAATTATTTTGCTCAAAAAAAGTCCTCAGCGTGCCTCTATCAAAGGAAATACTTGCCCTGTTGTGGCTTCTTCTAGCCAAATATGGTTTGGCAGCACCCTGCCTCAATTTCTCCTTCACTCAGAGCCCCTTAAAAAGTCCACATAGGCCAGATATTCAAAATATTCCCCCATCTGATTTCTTAGATATGAAGTCTTTCAAAAGAAAACTCAAACATATGAAATCTTCATCCTGGTTTCAGCTGGGCTCTGTCCCACCTCCTTGAGGATCTTTCCTTCCCTTAAATTCATTTCATTCACCCCCATCTGAAGCTAGACACTGCTCTTCCTCCATGAGGGTCTATCTCTCAGCACCTCTTACCTCCAGTTTGGTCTTCTCTACAAGCCCTCCCAGTTGGTGCTTTCCCCCTGCTGACTTAGGAGCCTTCTTACTAGCTGCAGTTTCTGCAGGTATCTCCATCATCCCCTCCCAAGGCCTAGTTGCCTTCCCATAAACCCTATTGAGCAGCAGGTAATCAGTCCAGGTGCACTGGATCCTGCTCCCTTTTAAAGGGGCCAGTCACCCTGTTACTTGTTTGTATCATAACGAGAGAGTAAGTTTTAAAGAGCCCCATGAACCCTATTTTAGAACACTGTTACCCTTAAAAATACCCTGCCTGAATTCAAGGTTGCTGTTACTATCATAATATACAAGTATAAATGCATTCTAAAGATCAAGGCTAGATTTTCAGATATAGAGAAACATATTTCTTTATACTTTGTAATGTTTTGCTAGATCTCAAAGCACACTTTGACCATCATGCCTCACTTGAAATAAACTGTGACACTGACCCTCTTACCTTAGGATACAAATTGCCCAAGATACCTTGATAAACCTGTTCAGGATACAGATGAAAGCAGACATTTGGCTCTCAGTTCCTTATTTAAAGGTCAATGAACCAAGTTTGTCATCATCAAGAGCTGGAGCACAGGTGTAACATTATTTCAGGTGCTCTCAGCCTGCATGTCATCTAAATATCAAAGTAAGGTAATTTCACTATAAAAACAACGGTGGTTCTGAATCAAAGAAAGGTTATACAAGGGCAAAGCACATTGTAATAAAAAACCTGCAGCATCCAGTTTGAGACCCTGGCTCAGCTGACTCTGCCTCACAGGGTGGCTGCAGGCCTAAAAAATGCAAAGTAGACATTCCGGCTCAGGCTGGAGCCCAGCTTTTGAGACCCACCCCCTCATAGGATTTGAGAGACCAGGCACCGGAGTCCAAACATCTCCACTGCAATTTTTAGCCCTGCAAGCCCAAGTCAGCTGATTAGGGCCAGCCGTGGCCAAGCCACAGATCTTATATTGCAGTGGAGAGGTGCCCCGAGAATCTCTTTCTCAGCTCTCCATCTGTAAAATGAGGATAGTCACACTTCCCAACTGAATGGGGGCATTGTGAGGATAAATGTATTAAACAACATTATGAGGTGCTCTGATACTACAGTAAAGGGGATCATATAAGTATTTCAGATAGATAAAGTCCCTTTAGGATAAGAGAGATGGGGCTGCTGGGAGGTGATTTCTGGTGGAAACCTATGCCTTGAAACTCACTGCCCTGCAGCTTCAGTTCATAGCCTGAAGTTTATTATTCAGGGCATGCTGTAAGAACCATCTCTTCTCTCTGCCCCGCAAGGAGTTGGGAAGGGGGGTGATTGAGGGGAGGGTAGTGGTTGTTTGGGTGTAAGTGCTGGAGTTTATTATTTTTTAGAGCAGGGGTCGGCAACGTTTCAGAAGTGGTGTGCCAAGTCTTCATTTATTCACTCTAATTTAAGGTTTCACATGCCAGTAATACATTAACATTTTTAGAAGGTCTCTTTCTATAAGTCTATAATATATAACTAAACTATTGTTGTATGTAAAGTAAATAAGGTTTTTAAAAAGTTTAAGAAGCTTCATTTAAAATTAAATTAAAATGCAGAGCCCCCTGGACCAGTGGCCAGGACCCGGCCAGTGTGAGAGCCACAGAAAATCAGCTCGCGTGCCACAGGTTGCCTACCTGTTTTAGACATTTACCAAAGGTGGCCAGAATTTGTGATGCGTGCTCATTTGTATAGTGTAGTATGAATTGGAAAAAATAAATTATGTAATATTAGTTGAGATTTTAAATGCTCAAAAGCCTAGAAACAAAGTTAAAGTCTCCTCTCAAACTGTGTTTCAGCACTCTAAACACACAGTGTGTGTGTGAGAAAGAAAACCTAGTTGATTACTGTTTGCCAGGGAAGACACCACAAAATAAGGATTAACTAACATAAGATACATAGAAAATCTCATGTACAGTAATACTAAACACTAGAGCTGCCCAAGGAGTGGATGGTATGCTCCAGAAGCCATATTTTTGAATTTGGATTGTCTATATAAAACCTTAACCCTAACATGACTGTAAATGCATAGACCCACACACCTATTTCTACTGGGTATCTCCAGTTGGAGTATACCTATCAAGTTACCCCCATTCTCAAGTGCATATAGTATAGATACACAGGGAAGAGTACACCTCCCTGATTATTTTTACCTTCAGCGTGTGTCTGTATGTTCCAGGGTATGCAGAAGGTGTTTATTTCAGTAGGTGCCTCTGGAGTTTGAAAGCTTGCTATATACTACAGTCTCCCCCGTCATGCACACAAGCCTTTTAACTTGGCCCTCTCCTGCTAATTCGCTTGCCATATCCAGGAAGGCAACCAAGGGAGTACTGTTAACAGTACATTGTGCAAGTGGGGAAAGGGAAAGAGCTGGGCCTATACACTTGGAAGAGAAGGCATCAGCACGTAAAGTGGGAAGAGGGCCAGAAAGGTACACCTAAAACACAGGAACAAAGGTGGACGTATCTTCTGTTGCTGCACCCACATAATGGGAAAGAATAGACAGGAAGAAAGACAAAAGAAGGGTAAGGGGACACATAGTTGCTAATATGGATAACGCTGTAGGGAGCCTAGCTATAAAGGTGCCCCTAATATCAATGAACTAGAGTTAATTTCCTTGTGGAATACTACATACATGTCCTTACAGACAAACAAACATCCTTGTCTGATCTCCTTTTGGAGTAATACATATTTAACAATTCATTTGGTAGGGACCAGAACTTAGAAGCAATTTAGAATCCTCACACCACAACTTCTATCATCTGTAGATCTAATTATACACAGTACAATGAGAGTACTGTGGCCAGGGAGGGGACCAGGAAGTGCCCTCCAGTGCAGAATGCAAATGAATTGTTTCTAGTATTAAGTAAAAGCAACCACCAAGGTAAAGGGTAGGGCGGGTAAAGCTGCATGCATTATAAATTGATGTTGCAGGCTACACAGTAGCAGAAGGCATCATTCTTACTGAGTCTGAACCAAACAGCACTGGGATCAATATAAGCAGGTAAGACATACTTAATGAATGAAAGAAGGTAAAACATGTATTTTGGTGAAAGTGAAAAGTCAAAGAAACAAGGACAGAAAGCAGCAGAGGTGAACACCAAAAATGTAGACTTATTTTTATTGCTGACTCAGGTAGAAAAGGGCTCCCATAGCAACTGAAACCCAAATCAGCATCATCATGGGTGCTGAAACATACTGAATTATTCCCATATATACAGTCACTGGTGAAAAACCTGAGTGCTCAAAGAGGCCTAGTAAAAAGAGAGTTCAATTCAGAGTTTAATATCTGGCAGACTGCTTACACCCAATCCCCACTGCAGCCATGAACTCAGCTGCATGCAAATCCATCTCTGGCTGGGAAGAAAGGGATAGGGTTACTTTTGCTCTGACATTTCCAAATTAGTCTGTTCCAGTTCCAAAGTAGCACTATTTCTTCTTGGTAGCTCTCTTTCCTTCTCCTTTCTTGGGTTTTCCTTTACCACGGAGCTTCTTTAGCCGTCTCATCTCTTCCTTAAAATCTTGATGTTCATCTCTGGATGGAAGAAAGAGAGGGAAGAGGGTTAAATTTAACTTCTTCCAAAAGAACAAGAGTGCAGTGGTTCTGGCAGCCAATACTTCCCACTCAGAATGGTAGATTCCCACCTTGAAGAATGGAGAGCTGTACACAAAACAAGATGAGAACTAAAGTAAACATTATACAACATGTACATTATCCTAGTGTGTTTTATATCAAGAGGAAAACAAACCAACAACATAATATTTTGCATTACAGCAGCAACTTCCATTCCAGAATCTCGAAGTACTTAACAGAAATTAAGGAATGAAGCCTATCATCAACATGTGAGGTAATGTTATTCCATTTTAAAAGGTGGGGTAAAACCAAGACTTAGAAGTGAAGGGACTTGCTCAGAGTCACACCAAGTCTGTGGCAGAATGAAAAAAAGGATTGAAATCTCCTGGCTTGCAGTCTTGTTGTTTATCCAATGCTCTCCAACTCCCACACCCATACCTATTCCCAGGCAAGTCTGATGGTTGTCCAGATGTGTTAGAGAATGAAGCCTATATTGAATCTCATTACGTTTAGTGTTAGCAATAATATTGCAAACACTCACAGAATAATTTGAAAGATTTCCTTTGGTACTGATGGAATTAACAAGATTGCCTTTATCAGCAACAAATGATATATATTTCTTACAGTCTATTTCTTGATCCATTGTGCTCAAATGGGAAGTAAAATATAAAATCAACAAGAGACGAAAAAAATCAAAATTTCCCCCCTCCAAGCTAGCTCAGAAGTCTCATCTTGTGTTGTAACACCATGCAAAGACTCAAGTTTGGGTCATTAGCTCCTGAGGAGAGAGGCAGGGCGGGCTGCAGTTACACCTGGCATTGCTCTCAATTGATTTCACTGAAGGGTTCTGGAGGAACCTATGGGATCAGTGGGATCTTTATTATTTATTTGTATTATCATAGTGCCTAGGAGCCCTAGTCATGAAGCAGGACCCTCCTGCGCTAGGTGCTGTAAAAAAGCAGTAAAAAAGTGAACAGGGGTGGGGAAGGACAGGATAGGAAATCCTGGAGAACCCTTTAAATAAATTCCACTCCATCTCCCATCCAAATGCAACTTAGCAGTGGAAAGTGTGGGGAAAATGGGTAGTAGCACCTCAAGCTTGTCTAAGGCTGCTGCCCTGCTATTTTTAATACTTCCAGAAAAGTATAAGAATTATTCCCAGGCCCCCTTGGTCTTTAGATCTGTGTCTAACGTCTACTGCCTATCACAACATTTATTTCTGAATAGCACACCTGAGCCACTGCAGGCCTCTTTGAGCATGCACAAGAAACAAGACACTTGAGCAAGTACAGTTTATAGTTTGGCGTTTTGTGCCAAGAGGAAGTTATTCTAGGAAGTTTTGTTCTTACAATAGTGCAGGCAACACCTGGATGGTCACTATACCATACTAGAAATAGAAATCCTACCTATTAAAGAAATTCCTATAAATTCCATGCCAGTTGGCCAGAGTAAGGGCTGCATTTAACTGCCTCAAAGAACATCTACAAGTAATTAGTTCAGTGTTTCCTTACTCAAAATTGTAATACTCATTTAGAAGCTTGAATATAAGTGTTTCTAGTCAATTTTGTCCTCCTATATTTGGAAAACAATTTCCCTTCATTTTGGATGGTTTGAAGGTGACCTAGTTTTTTAAAACTTAAAGAAAAATCAACCACCACCAAATTTCAAGGGTGGGTACTGAAGTAGCCATAAACACAGGGTAAGAGTATTTTAGCAGTTGGTGTATTAACATGCTATACATCTTTTGCAGCTCCTTGAAAGATCCGGACACCCCATAATTGTTGCCTTAGCTTCTGTTCTGCAGACAGACATCACACCTATCATTCATCAGCTTTGCAAAGCAATGCTTTCTTAATGGATAAGGCCCCTGGCCCAAACAGCTAGAACAGGGGTTCTCAAACTTTATTGCACCACAACCCGCTTCTGACAACAAAAATGATTACAAGACCACGGTGGGAGGGGAGGGGGGGACGACAAAGCCTGAGCCCACCCAAGCCCTGCTGCCTCCAGTAGAGGGGGGCAAAGCCAAAGCCCGAGCCCCACCGCCCCAGGTGGTGGGGCTCAGGCTTCAGCCCCAGTCCCGGGTCAAACCTGTGCTCGGGTCTCAGCTTTGGGCCCGGGCCGCAGCAAGTCCAACGTCAACCCTGACGACCTCATTAAAACAGGGCCGCGATCCACTTTGGGGTCCTGACCCACAGTTTGAGAACCGCTGAGCTAGAAGAAACATGCCCCATATTGACATGCGATTGCTTAACTACACCCATTGGTCTACGAACTCTTGCCCACAAAAGGTTCGGTGCATCCAAATAGGAAAAACTACATAAACAACCCGTCCACATTTTACTCTATTCTTCCCACACCAAGCACACCAAAAAAAGTGCTTCTTCTATACGGCCTGTTTGTCTTCTGAACTGCACCACTTTAATAGTTCTGCTGCTGCTTTAACACAACCCTAATAGAAGCCACAACTCCTTGTTGCCCAGTCCATCCCCCTCACCCCCCAAATTACACACATGGATCACCTGTAGAGGCCAAGGAAGCGGAGGTTCTTCATGAGGGCGACGTAGGTGTTGTGAGGGGGATACCAATCGTAGACGTCCTTCTGTTTGGCAAGGGGCTGCTCGCTGAACAGCTTCACTACTTTCATGGACTTATTGTCTGTTGGCCTGACAACTTCTCCAAATATCCGGGCACTCAGGCGGGCCATCCGCAAGGCATAATTGGAAAGAGCAGACATCTCCGGGCAAAGAATGGACACGCACACATATACACACTTTCCTACAGAAGGAAGAGGAAAAACTGCAACTATTTGAGATGTTCCAGGATCCCAAGCATTTGCCAGTATGATCCTGTCTTCCACCCTCAAATCACACTTGCAATTCACACGAGATGAGGGGCATCATGCTTGAGGCTGCATTTCTCACTGCAACACAGTTGATGCCAATGTCATTTGCATAACCGTAAAACACATTAAGTATCACTTTTAGCATGTCTGAGGTTTGTCATCCCAGCTCTATGTAAAATTAATCTAATTCCTAATATACAGTTCTCCACGTAGAGACATCACTTAATTTGGTAGTCTCTGCCGAGAAGCCAGGGATTAAATGGCATGAAGACTCAGGCCAAGATCCTCAAATGGTTTTTAAGCACCTAGCTCTCATTGATGTCAATATAGTTAGGAGATTCATATCTCCATTTCTTTCTTCCATTCCTCATCTCTTTGGATTTCATGCGCGTGCTCCACCACGTCGTTGTTTTCTGTCAGTTTTCTCTCATATCTGTCCTTTTGTTTGAAGCATGTCCCCGCCTCCCTCTTCCAACTATTTTTCCACTTTTGCCTTCTCTTTTCCAAGAAAGCCAACATGTCAACAAACTTCCCTCCAACCAAGGAGACTCCCTCCAGTCCCTCACTTCTGCGCCTTCAGACAGCCAAATGGAATCTCTAGAATATAAGATACTCTCAGAGTGATACTCCAAACTTTTAGCCATTACTGCTAGACCACAAGAGCAATTCTTTCTCTCCCAACCCTAATGATCCCTTTGAGGTTTTTCTTCAGCTCTCTTCACATTTCTCCTTCCCCATTTCTTTCCTCATCTTCCTCTCTATTTAAATTTGTTCTTCCCTACAGAATAGCTCTCAAGCTCCTACTGTCCACTTAATGAAACCTGACAATCCTTGTTAGTTTCACTCTACTTGCTGGGATCAATGGGGAAGCAGCTACATAAGATGAGACAAATGAGAGAGGGAGAGAAGGAAAAGATGAACCCTTTTATTTGTCTTGCCTTCAGCAGCAGAGCGCCTCTCTGATATTCCTGTTTATAGCTGTCAATCCTACGGAAAGAGGAATAGCACATACACAGAAGAGGATTAGATCTGCTTTTCTCTGTTATTGTAGTCGGCTCCACTGGGGAAGCATTGTATATGAGGCACAGAGGTACAATCCTCTGTTTGGGATATTCCTGGCAGTGGAGTTTCAAGCAATTTATGTTATATGTCATATAGGGTTAGTGAACAAGATCATACGGGATTCCCATGACCCTGTAATGACTTCAAACCCCCTGTGCTGCCCATACCATGCCTGTCTGGTGAATAGGTGATGGTTTAAATCTCTAGAGCTGTCAGCCTTCTTTCATGAGCGCTAGATCGTCTTTAAAGTTTAAAGTCTGTGTTTTCTTTTAAAAAGCATTTCACAACTGCATCCAGAAACCAACAACAGAATCAAGATGAGCATAAAATATTGGAGATGTATAAAAGCAACAGTGAAGACAATCTGTAGGACAGAGCCAAGTAGATTTAACTAAATCAATTGGGAATATTTTGTTTAATAACATTATCTTGAAGTAAATATTACCCCACATGGGCTTCTACATACCCTGTTTCCCCGAAAATAAGACAGTGTCTTATATTAATTTTTGCTCCCAAAGATGCGCTAGGTCTTATTT